AAATGCCCTTACAAGAGCATTTTCCCATGTTAGTCGTTTTTGCCTTCAATTTTCTTCTGTCACATGAAGACACAGTATGAAAAAGGCACTGTCTTAGAAGCAAAAATGAGCCTTCACTAGACCCTAGATATGTTGGTACTATGATTTTGGAGTTCTCAACCTCCAGAAGTGTGATATATATATTTTGTATTTAGTACAGGGTCTACAGAGTTTCACTACACAGTTGGACTTACAGTGATCCTCCTGTTTTCAGCCTCCCAAGCACTAGGATTACAGGTGCACACCACCATGCTGTCTGAGAAATAATCTTCTTTTCTTCATAAATTACCCAATCATAGGCACTTTGTTGTAGCAACACAAATGGATTAAACCAATAAGCTATAAACTCAGGCTGCTTTCTAATTTCCTGGACTCTGTTACATACCTTGTATTCCTTAAAGTTACCATAGGAAGGAGGGTTCCACAAATGCAAATGTGTGTGGAGTAACCTCAGGTGGGGGGCATCTACAGAAGCTCACAATCATACTTTATGGTCTACCCTCAAGATGACCGATTTCTCAAGCCCTCCTATCTCCTCAAATACTGGGGGGTTGAGGTTACTATGTTATTATATCCCAAGTACCCTTGACACTTGCATAGCATAGACTCTTATGTAGTAGACAGTAAGATTTGTTAGGCAACAGGAATTACATGAAGATCAGAATTTCTTTCTGTCCTGATCTATTTTGACTCTTTTGAGCAGTGTATGGAGCACTTCTTTGTCCGCTAAATACGTTGGTGGAAATGACCTAACAGAAAGAAGTGGAGCTTATGAGTCTTCATCCATGAGGGAAAATATAGATCCATCTCTTCAAAGATACAGCATAGAATGTTTGGACTTGGACTGAAATAAAGCCACAGAACGATTGTCAAACCATCAGAATAAAGAGCATGGGAGTGTATTAGACACAAAAATTCCTTGTATGCTTGTGTATCTCCCATCAATCCTAGTTGCTATGGATTGAATATGGTTTATTTTCTGAAAAACATATGTTGAAGGTTAACCCTCATTACAATATATAAAGAGGGAGATGGGGTCTTTGGAATGTAATTAGGATTATGTAAGGTATTCAGGAAAAAACCCTTACCAATTAAGTAGTGGTTTTGTATGTAAGTACAGATAGATGGATGGATGGATGGATGCGTGCATGTTATGTATGGTTTTTGGTTTTCATGAGACAGGATCTTGCTATGTAGTTCAGGCTGACCTTAAACTCACAGTTTAGCTGGGAGTTGCTTAAGTTACTTTTCTCTTGTTGAGACAAAATTCTCAACACTCAAAATTAAGGAAGGAAAGGTTTATTTAGCTCACAGTTTGTGGAGGTTCTAGTCTATAATCCACTGGGTCCAAGACAGGATGGCATGTGGCATAGGGGTAACAGTTTAAGGCACCAGAAAACAGCAAGAGTAGCAAAAGCACAAGAAGGAGGGGCAGCAGAGAGCAAGCTTCTTTCCCTCCCTTATATAGTATGCAAGCTACCTATCCCAGGGCAGATATATCCATAATGGGTACTCGTACCCATAATCATTATGGGTACTCATACCCATAATCCCAGCACTGTACTATGAACCAATCAAAAACTCCAGAAGCTCACCCCATAACTGCATGAGGCTTTGGTGGGCCATCTACACCCAAACCATAATAATAATCTAGGCTGGCCTCAAACTCACAGCAACCCTTCAGCCTCAGCCTTCTGAGTACTACAGTTACCGGTCTATGGCACCACATCTGACTTTAATAGTGATTTTATCAGAGATGTTTCACATGCGTGCTCTCTGTCCCTTGCCATGTGATGTTCTGTGATGCCTTGGGAGCCTACCAACAAAAAGGCCATCATCAGATGCAGTGCTCAGCCTTGTACCAAAACTATAAGCCAAACAAAACTTCTTTGTAACTTGCCCAGGCTTGATTCTGTATGTGATCAGCAATAAAATATGGACTCGTACACTAGGGCTGGCACTTTCAGAATTCATATAAGAAGCATTTTCATAGTTTGTAATTCTTCCACATAGCCATAATACCTAGTCTGTTCCAATATTCCTAGAGACTCAAAACACTTTTTCCATAAAGTTGTGAGCAATAATATTGTTCTTCAGTCTACTGAGGTCCTACCTCTTCATTTTATGCTAAGTTTTGCTTGTCTAAATACTAGATTAACTGTCCCTTTTGGTCTTGTCTTTCTTCACAAGAATTTTTTTTTAAGCTGTGAATTTCTCTTCAAAAGAATATCAAATTATTTTGGGGAAAGCTAAGGGAACTGTAAACCCATGTCAAGTTACTTTGGGGAGAATGAAGCCCTTTTAGTTGTGTGAACCCTAGTGGGGACCATCATGTTGACTCCTCACACTGATGTTTTGCCCTGTGTGGTGCATGCATCTGAATCAGAATCCAGCCTAAGGCCTCTCCTGGCTTGGCCAATTTCTTTTAAGTTTCAGGGCTCCACATAAAAATCATTAGATATAGGGGCTGGGGAGATGGCTCAGTAGAATAAGCGCTTCCCTGGCAAGTGCAAGGGCCTGAGTTCAAGCCCTGGTTTTGCAAAAAACAAACAAACAAACAAACAAACAAATCATTAGATATAAAGTTGGACAGAGGATAGATAAAATTACCCTTGTATCAGTGACTTCATGCCAGATCCAAAGCCAGGGCTATTTCTCTCAGAACTAGTAGGACAGGTCCTCTTTCTTACTAGTAGTGGTAGTCATAAAAGACTAATCTGGTATTGGTTTTCTTATATGATCTGAATTTTGGGTCAAATCAGTACAATTTCTTTGGCATTTGGAAATCGTTGAGTTTTCTCTGGCCTCTTTAAAACTATTTGATCTTTTCTTTTTGCCCCAGCCTCAGGATTCTGTACTATTTCTGCCACTGGATAATTCTCTGAGCATGCATTAGATCCCACTGTCTTTGCTATTTAGACCCTCCTGTGTGCTCTCTGTGGACCCCAAGTGCTGTAAGTCCAAGCCTATGTGGTAAGCCTGGAGATGTGGGGGCCTCCAGGATGAGCTGTTAACACCAAGCAGTCACGTGTGCTACCCTCCTTTTGCTTGCATCCTAATGACCTAGAGATCTGCCTGCCTAAGGAGCCTTCAAATACATAGTCCCTTGCCATGACCTGTCACTACTTCCCAGTTGGAAGGGTACCCAACAAGAGCTCTCGGCAGCCAAACTCAGCTTTTCAAAAACTCATTGCCTTGGTGCTGAAGAACACTGCCAGATTCATCCTTGGCACCCATGGGTGGGCAAGGCCCAATGAAGTCTAAAGTTGTCAGCTAATTTTAGCTCATCTCATATTGATCTAGGGCACTGTTTTAAAAGCAAGATAATGCTACATTTCAAATACATGTATCCTCCCAGAGTTGGTTCACTGAAAACTAATAACAAAAGTGACAGTAGTTTAAGGGGTGATGAAAACATGAGTATTCCAAGGCCATGAATATGGTTAGTGCTTATACCAAAGAAATTAAGGGCCCAATCCCTTCTATCCATTCGCCCCTTCCAGCATGTGAGGACAGTGTTCATCTTCAAAGGAGACTGCAACAATATGCTTTTTGGCAAGCAGAGGGAAGTCCTCACAAGGTAGCTAAGCTGATGCCTTGATCTTGGAACTTCCTAGCCTTTTGTACTTCAAGAAATAAACTTCCATTCCTTCTAAATTAGTCACTGTGTGCTATTTTCTCACAGCACTTAAAATAGACAAAATTATACAAAGTTTCTTTGCATCAGTCAGGTAGTAATTAATGTGGAGCAATCCTTATCTGGGCACTCTGACATACGCTTTACATAACACACCAACCTTCAAAATGACCACATGGAGTGTATATTAATTTTCTCTAGTGTTAAACTAATGAACCTACAGCAATGTCTTTCTTTTGCTCTTCTTCGCCAGAGAACATGGCCACTGGGTCTATTTCTCTCAAATCCTAAAGCTGGCAGTTTCCTTTGGTGGGAATAACTCCAGTCTGTATCAAGTGATGCTGAGAAAGGGTGTTATCTCAGGAAAATAGACATTTTTCCTCCCTTATCTTTCCTCTTATTCTGTTTTATGTGGTACTGGGGATTAAACCCAGTATCTTCACACTGTATCTCCAGTTCTAAGTTTCGAGATAGGGACTTGAGGCAGGACTTGAAACTATAGTTCTCTGGCTTCAGCTTTTAAAATTTATTTATTTATTGTATGTGTGTGTGTGGCCAGCTCAGCCCACCAGGAGGCAGGGCTGGCTGGTTGGCATGTGGTGCTGGGGGATCGAACCGTGGTCCCTGTGCTTTGCCAAGCTTGTTCCAAGTAGGTGCTTTAGACCACTGAGCCATCTCGCCAGCCCCTGGCTTCAGCTTTTCAAGTGCTGGAATTATAGGCATGGACCATCATGTCTAGCTCACATACTCTTCTCAACTGTATTTTTTCAAGTATTTGCTTGGGTATGAGGGCTTCTGCATATTCTTTTCTCTCAGAATGGCAATATGCTCCACAAGCTGAGGAGCTGTTATTCATGGGACATAGGGTAAGAAGGTAGAAGTGACAAGAAAAAAGGGATTACTATACACAGGGAATAAAGACCCAATGGCCATGTGTGTCAAGACAGCAGTGTACATGGCTAGCACGAGTATGAGGCCGCCAAAGCAGGGCTGGACTTGGCCATACTCAGGGCAACGGAGAGCTAGAGCACTGACCCTGGATCTGAGTGTGTAGCTGTGGAAGGATATATTATCTGCAGAAATCAAGGAGAGAACTAATGCCTCAGAGAAAACCAAATGAAATGATAAAATAGTGCCATGAGATCCTGGGGTGGACCTTTGTGAAGCATTACAGACTTCCCCTGCCTCTTCATTTAATCAGTGATCAGACATTCCTGAGACCTGAATGGGAAGTGTTTTATATACCACAGAATAAAAGAATTTACAACCCCTTTTATTTCTGGTCATTTTACAATTATACACACAAAGGAAACTTCTGCACACACCTCCAAATGCCCTCACCAGAAAATCAAATTTGTATTTCTTTTTTTTTCAAATTTGTATTTCTAACTCTAAAGGAAATATCTTCCCAAATCAGCATCTGAATGCTAACCATAACAACTTTTCTTTTCCAACATATACTGAAGTCATCTGGAACTAAGGCCTCTGTTCTTCCTAGATGCCCTTACATTCTGAGCTTTAGTGTCCATTTGCCCACACTAAAGCTATCAATGTGTGCATTCAGCTAAAGAGGCAGGTAACACGGGCAAAGGATGGGTTCTGGGTCATACAAAGTCTTGTCACCACATTGAGGGCAGGGGTTGCCACTGAACCAGACCACAGCTTGCCTCCCTGCATCATGCAGCATCCGCCTTAGTGTGGCATGCAGGTGGGCAAGTCTTCCCAGGTGGAGGAGGCCTTCGTTGTCTTCATAACTCTCCAAAGGGGCAGGATACAGCACGTGACTTAGCTTGTTCAGATTAATGGTATGGAGCAGAAGATTCTGCAGCACGGCCATGGAGATGGAGTTCCCACAAAAGGTGAAAGTTGTGAGCTGGGAACACTGGCCCAGGGCAGGCAGGATGGCAATGAACTGGCTGTCCATGATCCCACACTCATCTAAGTCCAGGTCTTCAAGAGTGGAGGAAACTCTCTCTAGCAGCACTCGGAGAAGATCTGGACTCATAGTGGCCAGACTGACCCCACTCAGGCTCAGGTCCTTTAGCTGACTCACACTGGGGCACTCGGATAGATGAATCAAGTCTGACTCTACAAGTAGGCAATTATTCACTGAGAGTGTCTCCAAGGGGCTCTTCAGGTACCTGGGGAAAGACAGAGAAGTTGCACTTGGGAATGGTAAGAAGGGTGAGGATGACCCAGGCCTTGAAGGTGGAAGGGGGCGAAGCCCAAAATGTTTCTGATTATGGTCAACTGTTAGTATGCAACAGTTCAAAGGAGGCATTCAGACTAGTTCAAAGCTAGATGGAATCCTTCCTTACTCACTTTGCTGTGTAATTAGGTCAAGTAATTGAAATCTCAAATCTTCTTTTACTTTTCAGTCAAGTAGAGAACACATACCTCTTAGGTGCTGCTAGCATGAATTACAATAACAACAGGATGCAGTCCCACGAGCATTACCCAGGTCTCAAGCAAGGAAGGACATTATTGAATTTTGGTTTTGGTGATAAGAGTAATTCTTGGCCACCTGTGGTGGTGCACACCTGTAATTCCAGCACTCAGGAGGCTGAGGCAGGAGGAACTTTGAGAGTTCCAGGCCAGGTTGGGCCACAAAGTGAGCTCAAGGCTAGCCTGAACTGCATAACGAGAACCTGTCTCAAAAAGACAAAAATAAATAAACAAACATGATTTTATGGGAAGCTGAGGCAGGAGAATCGTCATGAGTTCAAGGCCAACCTGTACTACATACCCATCTCAATTTTTTAAAAAGTAACTTAAATTTATAAAAATGGGAAAAAATGAATTTTAAAAAATGAGACTAAAAAAGAAAAATTCTTTCAACTCAGGCTTCCTTCTGACTACCTAACCTGGGCCCTAGTCACATGTATCTCTACGCTGGATGAGGCTATCAGAAAACATTGAACCAAGTGACCATGTACTGGTCAAATTAAAATGCTGCATTATCAGTGAACTACCTATCATTATTTACCATTTGCATTCCCACTCCTCCACCTCCATCATCACTCATTTACCACATATACCCTGAGTTCAAAACCATCCATTATAGAGAGGAAACCTAAGATAGGTTTGGAGGGAAGACCCAAGCTACGAAAGCCTTCAGTGCAGAGCTGATAATCTGAAACATAATGTCTGAAGGACTTTTCCATTTAATACCTTACTCCTTTAGTTTTAGTTAACCTAGACATTACTTCAAGATATAATTCCTAAATCCAACCTCCCCAGACCTCACTCAAATCCCTCATTAGTTGCTCAGAATCACTGTTACTAGCAACCTATCCTAGTTTATGACTGATTGTGGTTTGTTCTTTCCAAAATTCATGTTGAAATTTAATCTCCATTACGTGACACTAAGAAGTGGAACCAGGTACAACCTTTAAGAGATGATTAGCTAGCCAGGCAGTATGCCTAAAAGGAGCTAAAGTAGGATGACCAGAAATGTGAACCCAGCCTAGGTAACTTAGCAAGACTCTGTTACAAAATAATAAGATCTTGGGGCTGGAGAGATGGCTCAGTGGTCTAAAGCACCTACTTGAAACAAGCTTGGCAAAGCACAGGGACCGCGGTTCGATCCCCAGCACCACATGCCAGCCAGACCCGCCCCCTGGTGGGCTGAGCTGGCCACACACATACACAATAAATAAATGTAATAAATAAAATAAATAAATAAATATTAAAAAAACAAAATAATAAGATCTGTAAAGCTCAGTGGAAAGGTAATGGGTTCAATCCCCAGTACCACAAGGGGACAAAAAGTTTTGCTTTTGTGAATGGATTAATAATTATCTTTTTTTTTTTTTGCCAAATCAGGGATTGAACTCAAGACCCTTTCGCTTGCCTGGGAAGCACTTATTCTACTAAGCCATCTCCCTGGCCCAATAATTATCTTGTGAGTGGGTCAGCTGTAAAGCTTGTTTGGCTGGGTCCTTGAGTACTCCATGTCTCTAGCCTTAACACCCTGCACCATTCTGGGATACTACTATCAAGAATGCCATCACCAGATGTTACCCCTCAACCCTGTGAGCCAAAATAAACCTTTTTTTTTTTTTTTTTTATTAAATAACTCATCTAGTTTGTGCTATGTTTTAGCAATAGAAACAAACTAGACAATCCCTAACATTTGGGTAGTCATGTGATATCATACTTGGGACAAGATAACATGTTGACTTCTGGTGACTTTTTCAGTTGAGGTTTATTTTTATCTATTTTTTAGAGATTTATTTTTGGTTTTGGTGCCAAGAACCAAACTCAGGGCTTCCAGTTTGCTAGGCAACCATTCTACTGCTGAGCTAAATCCTCAGCCCCTCTAGGGACTTTTTTACTCTTAAATTACTTGTGACTGGCACATAGCAGACATTCATTATTGTTGCTGCAATGAAGGCTTGCTGTGGTATATAAAGAAACCTCACCAAATGCTCACCTGAGCACATCATGTAGGTGGCCTTTGAGGAAGGAGACAGAATCTAAATATAGTTCCTGGAGATGACGCAAACTGAGGAACTGAGAGGTAAATTGGCTGACAAACTCCTCTTCTTTCTCCACGTACGTATAGGCAGTAGTGAGGATATGAGAGAGGAGAAGTCTGCGCAGATTACTCATTTGGCCCAGGTAAGGAGCAAACTTTCCAAAAGTTGACAGGTTCCAAGTACAATTCACTTCCAATTCCTGGACAGAGTCCAGCTGCACTATTTTCAAGATCATCTTAATATTCTGGAAGGGCATCGCAAAAATCCTCAGCTTTTTACAGCACAAGTGCAGTAAGTCTTTGTTCTGTCTGACCTTCTTCATGAGGGAGGCAAGCAACTCGTCATTTCTGCCTTCCTTGAGACACAAATCTAATAGCACTTTCACAGGAACAAAGGGTTGATTTGCTCCTCTCTCAAAGCCGTCCACTTTTGGTTTCTTCACAGGCTGTGCAGTCTCTAGTTCAGTCAATGACCACACACCTATTCTGGATCCAGACCACAGAGTCCAGAAGTCCTGATGTACATTCTTGCGTAAATCTAGCACTTGCAGTTTCCAACGCCTATAGGCAAACAGGTAAGTAACTGAATTAAAAGTAGGAATCAGGGCCAGCAAGATAGCTCAGTGGACTAAACGCCTGCTTAGGCAAGCACAGGGTTTGATCCCCAGCACCACATGCCATGTGGCCGTGCCCCTGGGCCTACTGAGCCAGCCACCAAGACAAGGCGTGGTGGCATATACCTCTAATCCCAGAGCTTGGGAGGCTGAACACAGGAGGCCAAGCTGTGTAGTGAGACCCTGTACCAAATACATTAAAAAATAAAAATAAAAGCAGGAGCCTCAGAATCAGATGGGGCACAAACATTTGACCTGTTATTCCAGACCCCAGACCTCAGATTCTCCCTTTACCACTGGGATTCTTACTTGTCCCTGCTCTCATATCTTCATGAGCCACTAAGTAGGAGTGGGAACACATGCCTTCAGTTACCTGTGTGACTTCATCAACCCTTCACACCCAGAAACTCATTCTCTGGAGTGACACCAGCAATGACCCTTAGACTTCCCTGAGCTTCTTCACTGGCACCAAGAGAAGCCCTTGGCCCACCTTTTGACTCTCTATGCCCTGACCCCAACTGTGCCTTGCTCAAATTCCCAAGGCTCTCCTCAGACTACTGGATAACCCTCACCTGGGGCGAACCTCTTGAGAAAGCAACACATCAAGCCCACTGAGTGCTGCTTGAAGGATCTCCTGGGGAAGCTGCTGTTCCATCATCAGGGCCCCCAGAGGGAGGCAAGCAAAGGGCCAGGCCTGCACCATAGCTTTGAATGTCTTGATGCATTTTCTTGCATAGGCCTCCATGAACAGAGATGGGAAGAGCTCTATGGGCAACTCCTCCAGGGCAGCAATAGCCAAGGCCTCATCTCTCAGCAGGCTCTGCACAGCCAGCTTCAGGAGTCTTGGTGGGGTAAACATGGTCATCCTGACGAATCTTTTTCAAAAGGAATCCTGAGAAAACATGTAGGGAACAAAGAACCCTCAGGCTCTGTGCAAGCAAATTTATCTTCTCTTCACCCTTCAGAGACTATTTCAGTGCCAAAATCCCTGCTCTGACAAAAGCCAAGGAAGTCCTCAGCTTACCCAAATTCTATTCAATATTCAGTGACTACAAAGCTGTCTCACAACAAGCACTTGGACAAGTGTCAAAAATATGACATGATGATCACTGGCCCCTCCCATATGTACCCAGTGTTGTATTTAATTCTAGACCCCTGTGAAGTAAGTACTGATGAGCCTAAAAGCTGACTCTGCCCATTTTAGAAAGAAGTTTGATATTATCCTGTATCAGAAATGCTTGGGGGGGCTTCGTCTTTCTTTTTCCACCATCTTGGAGCCTGGGGAGACCCGCCGGGAACAGGACTTCTAAAAGGCAAATATGTCTGGAAGACTGTGGTGCAAGGCCATTTTTGCTGGCTATAAGCGGGGTCTCCGGAACCAGAGGGAACACACAGCTCTTCTTAAAATTGAAGGTGTTTATGCCCGGGATGAAACAGAATTCTACTTGGGCGAGAGATGTGCTTACGTGTACAAAGCGAAAAACAACACAGTGACTCCAGGTGGCAAACCAAACAAAACCAGAGTGATCTGGGGAAAAGTAACTCGGGCCTATGGAAACAGCGGCATGGTTCGTGCCAAGTTCCGAAGCAACCTTCCTGCTAAGGCCATCGGACACCGAATCCGTGTGATGCTGTACCCCTCAAGAATTTAAACTAACGGAAAATAAAAGTGCATTTGTGCTCTTGTAAAAAAAAAAAGAAAGAAAGAAAGAAATGCTTGGGGCCAGAAGTGTTAGGGATTTCAGATTTTTTCGAACTGTTGGAACATCTAGATACACAGAATGAGGTATCTATGAATGGGATCCAAGTCTAAACACAAAATTCATTTATATATACTTTATAAGTACAGCTTTCAGGTAATTCTTTTTATGTAACACTTGTAGTAATTATGTACATAAAACAAAGCTTCATGGTGTGGAATTTTCCACTTGTAGCATCATTTTGGCTATGAAAATGTTTTAAAATTTTGGAGTATTTTGGATTTCAGATTTTTGAATTAAGGATGCTCACCTGTTCACCCAAGGACAATGGGACTGAGAATGCCACATGGCCCAGCAGTCTACTGCTCCATTAACAAATAATAAGCCAGATGAGAATGATAAGGACAACGACAAGAGGTACCATAATATTTCTTTTAAAAGACTTTAAATGAAAGGGTTTTAAAACAGTGTAACTGTATTGAACAGAACTTAAAAACTTTCAAGAAAGATACATACTTCAAGGTGTCTCTGAATACTAGACTATCATTTTCTGTTACTATCTTATGTATCACAATCATGTAGCATAGAGGAACAAATCTAACAAATCCAATGAAAGTTTCCACTTTTATTTTTCAAGATTATTTTTTTGTTTGAGATAACAATCTCACTTTGTATTTCAGGCTGTTTTTGAACTTGTGGTAATATTCCTGCTTCAGTCTCCTAAGTGCCAGGATTACACTATGTGTCATCATGCCTGGCTTCAAAAGAGTTTTTCTTAACTGCTTACAAATACAGTATAAATCCATGATGTGTAAAATATTTTAGAATACATACACAGTCAGGCGAGGTGGCGCATACCTGAAATCCCAGCACTCAGAAGCTGAGGCAGGATGGTTGTTTCAAGTTTGAGACCAGTCTGGGCTACAAGGTGAGCTCAAGCCCTGCATGAACTGCATAGTAAGACCCTGTCTCAACAGGACAAAAATACATAAATAAAATTTTATACACACACACACACACACACACACACACACACACACACACACACACTCTAGAATGGCCAACTCAACCTAACAGATGCATCACCCCACATACTAATTTATGGTTAGTACACTTAAAAGCTACTCTCTCAAGGGGCTGGGGAGATAGCTCAGCAGAATAGGCGCTTGCCTGGAAAGCACAAGGTCCTGAGTTCAATCCCCAGTACCACAAAAAACAAACAAACAAAAAACAACTACTTTCTCAGTAATTTTCAAGTGTACAACAGATTATAACTAAAGTTACATGTTGTATCCTACATACCTTAAATAAACCTTCACTCCTTTCCCTCATTAAAGAAAACAATCTGGAAACTATTTTGCAAGGTTTTATCTAAGAGAACCTTAAAATCACAAAATTACAACTAATATGAACAAAAAACTACTGGTCACATATATGAAACAGCATCAAGTAAAATTCCAATAATAGATGTCTTTCATCCAAATAAATGTCTCATTCAAATAAAGTCTGTTTAGCAAATTATTTAAAATAATTTTATTTTAGCAAATTATTTTAATTATTATTATTGTTGGCTAGCTCAGCCCGTCCTGAGGGCAGGGCTGGTGCAGCATGTGTTGTCAGAGAATGAACTGCAGTCCCTTGCACCTGCCTAAGCTTGCCTAAGCAGGTGCTTTAGATTGCTGAGCTATCTCACTAGCCCTAGAAAATTATTTTAAATGTCTATGAAATTATATAAACCAAAATAAATCAAAATGTCCAAAATTAAGATAAAATCAAAATGCCTAAAATTGAGACAAAAATGCATTGAACACAAAAAATCCTGCTGTCTTATAGCAAAAGAAAAAGAAAGAGGCTGTCTGGCCCCAAAACCTAGGCTGAGGCTCCTGCATCACCAGACTTAAGTGTCATGCAGGAAGCTGTCTGCTCAGACCACAGGTCTGGCATGCTTCCCATTTATAACTCAAGTCTGCCAATGAAAGCAAAATCTTACATTACTGGATGTCCACTTGGTGAATCCTGATTTTTAAAAAACAATTTTGTAGAATCAACATATCGAATTGCATATACAGTCACAAATTGGACAGAAAAAGAAAACCAACTGAAAAACCAACTTCTAGGGAAAATTTCTGCCACATAAAATTACCCAAAATGTTCAAGTCAGCTTCATAAAGAGGATAGTATCATTCCAAAAATGGGGGAAAAAACTAAAAATCCCCAAGTACATAAAGTTACCACATTTGTGGGTTAAAAAGAAAATCCCCAAGTATTTTGCTGTCATAGTTTATGCTCCTTAACACAACTAAAATCTATTCAAGGAGAACTGAAGGGTAGCTGGTGTCCCAGACTTTGAAAGTGAAGGCTACAGACACGAATCTACCTGGGCCCTAGTGACACCTTTTACTTTCCAGAGTCAGTACTTTTTTTTTTTTAAATGGGTGTTGTAGTTAGTAAAAGGTATACAGGGTCTCACTACACAGAACAGACTCATAGTGATCCTCCTATTTTCAGCCTCTCAAGTGCTGGAATTACAGGTACACATCACCACACCCAGTCTCAGCACACCCTGGGTGCAGGCCCAGCACAGCAGACATGGGATCAAACCCTGATCCCTGCATCTGCCTAAGCAGAAGCTTTAATCTGCTGAACTATCTGGCCAACCCTGGGGTATTTTTTATTTTAGCTCTTATTAGTACATGTTTGCAATATATGATGTTTATACTCCTTTGTGGAGTTGGTACATGGACATACCATTATTAAAGCAATTAAAATGCATCATATACATGTACCAATTTCCAAAAGGAATGTAAACATTATCAGTACTTTGTACCAGCATAATAAACATACAAAAAATGTAAAATTAAAAAAAATTCACAAGGACTAATCCTGAAATTCATATGAAATTAGAAGAGACCCAGAAGAGTCAAAGGAATGCTGTGCAACAAAAGCAAAGGAAGAAGGATCACAATCCTGGACTTCAAGTTATATTACAAAGCTATGGTTATTAAAATAAAACATGGCACTGGCACAAAAAGAGACCTGAGGCTCAGCAGCACAGCATAGTGCATGCACAAACAACTCCAGGCACATTCAGTTACTTAATACTTTATACAAGGGTCAAAAACATGGTAAAGGAAACAGTGTCATTCCTAAGTGGTACTAGGAAAACTGGCTTCCACATGGAGAAAACTGAATCTAGATGCCTATCTCCCACCATGTCCTAAACTAAAATGGATCAAAGATCTAAATGTTAAAACAGAAACAATCTGCTGGAAGACAAAATAGGTAAAATTAAAAAGCTTCTGCCCAGCAAAAGAACCAACAAAGTTAAGAAAAAATAGTCTATAGAAAACAGACTATAGAATGGGACAAAAACTATTTTCTAGTGATTCCTTAGGCATGAGAACTCCTATCTACAATATATAAAGAACTCAAAAGCATTAGAAACCTCTCTTTAAAATATAAAATATTCAATTCCAAAATATGGGCAATCATGAGAGGCTGAGGCAGGAGGATTGCTGTGAGTTCAAGATCAGCCTGGGCTACAGAGTGAGCTCATGACTAGGCTAAACTGTATAGCAAGACCCTGTCTCAGAGATGAAAAAAAAAAAAAAAAAGCAAGCAAAAATGAGTGAACCCTTCACATAATTAGCAATGGCCAATAAATAATCAACATAACTAGACATTAGAGAAATGCAAATTAAAATAACACACATCCTATGTTACTCCAAAAGGACTCGTGAGAAGATATACTTTCCTCCCTTGCTAGAGACAAGGAATCATCTCGCTGGTGGAAGGTCACCCAGAGGATCTGGAAAGCAGAAGTGCACAGAGGCCCCTCTGTCATCAGATCAGAGACTGAAAAAGCCCTGAGCCATCATCACTGCAGCATTTGAGCTGCACTCTGCTTGGCTGATGCTCCTTGCTCTCTGCACGGGTGAGATACTAAAGGAAATAGGACCCTGATTTCACCTCTCCATATGCCCCTGTTCTGTTAGCCATGGGATAACCACCTTTATTGTTCCGAGCTTTGAATAGTAGGCCACAATCTCTTGCTTTGGAGGCACCAGTTACACTGAAGGTAATATATCGAGTATACTGATAGCTACTATATGAGTGCACTATTCTACCCTGTCAGATACATGGCCATTCTTGAGGTTTGGGTCCCAGTTCAATTCCCCAGGAACCATGGACCCTTATGTAGCACCTGGGGCCTAGGTTGTATAACCTTGTTCACTTAAAAAAAAAATTAATTTTGATGAGAAAGAAATAGCAATGAGACAGTTTCAAAACAGGTTAGTAGAACAGTTACAATTAATACATTGCATATTGTCTTCATAGTAATTCACTGTACAAGATGCAGACATGATATCTTGTGTAAACGCTATTAGTACAAATCTTTCTTCTCATTGAACTAAGAGAAAGTAGCTGTATATCTATCCTATTTTGTATATAAACATATATATTTCTTTACTACAAAATGGTCTTTCATTTATATCCCCTTTTAATTTTGTCAGAGATGGGTTTTCTGTTGTTTACTTTGTAAGAGTGACTCTTACCTTTTGGCTCACACCCACAGAAAGAGAAACAAAACCTCACTAAGCTCATGCACTGTCCCTACTTGACAACCTTTAATGGTCTACACTTGGGTGTTTGATTACCCAGAAGAAAACAGACTATATATAACTCGGAGTTTGGGCATGAACTTCCCAATACACAGACAGTGTTTCTTACAAGAGGCAGCAGGACAAATCAAAAGCTCTATAGGAAAATGATTTGAAAAAATAAAGGCTAGTTCGGCTTTAACCCTACTTGGGTGAACACTCAAGATGCTGACTCCCTGTTACTCCTCAGTGACAACGCCAGAGAGGACAAGCTTCTACAGTCACCCAAGATGATTCAGGGGCCATCTTACCTGTTGACGTCTTCTGTACAAGCTGACCCAACTCAAAAGAGCCTCTGATCCCTCAGTAATTTCTCTTCCAGATGTCAGTCACTGGTCTCCCAAGTTTGAGAGTAATACCAAAATGCTCCAAAAACAAGAAGACTGTGTTTTATAACATACGCAGTTATGAAACAATAGCCCCACGAATATTGAGAAAATGAACATGAGATCCCATCTTTTCCATACCTTTACCTACGGACAACGGCTTGTATTCTGCCACATTTCTGCCGCTTCTCTGCTTCTTAGATTCTAATAGAACACCCCCTCCCCTCTTCCCAACACCTCAGCAGGTTCCATTTCAAATGCACCAGCAAATGAAAGCCCACAGAAAGCCCAACCATCCTTACTATGTCCAAGCTCACTGCGGCATCCTCATGGTCTGGACCAACTGGAGGCCACCTTGCCCCTCAAGCTTTTCAATACCATGTCATGTTTACCCACTTTCAAATGAGAAACAGGGGTCAGGGGGTGGTGCTGACGGCTTCAAAACCAAGGTCATCCTGTGAGAAAAACCCAGAAAACAAAAGTTTTAACTTACGCTTTTTTCCACACCACACGCCCCGCCACGTGTCCTCCGCCTGCGCCCTCAGCCGCAAAAAGGAAAGAAGCAGGCAGTGACGCAGCGAGTCCCCGCCCTCGCAACCGACAAATCAACCAATCCTGGTTTTACTTTCCTTCTCGTGTTAGATCTCGCGATATTTGGTAGAGGTCAAGAGAATCCAGAACATTCCTAAGAAGTGGGAGGAGGAAAGGAGTAGCAGGAGGGGGGGTCAGAGGTCAAGAGGTGGAACCAGTGACGCCTGTGAGGACTCCTGCCAGAGGCCGGCGGCCAGGAAACGGAAGCGCAGGAGGGGGTTTCCGGGAAAGCGAAGAGGGGCTTTACTCATCTGGGTAGCAATTAGAGCAAGGCAGGTATGCTGGGATTGTAGGATGAAGGGGGATATTGGGAAGGAAGAACAGCAGCGTCTTCGGCGGCAATGTATTTCAATCGTTAGGCCAAGGAGCCGGCGCAGGGATTTTTGAGGTGGGTAGGTGATGAGGCAGTGGGAGTGGGGTAGGAGGAAGGCAGGGCAGGGGTTAGTATCCAGATAGGAGGATGGAGGCGGGGGTGATATGGGGTAGAGACAGAGTGGGAGGAGCCTGAAGGAACGGTACACAGTGAGAGGTGGGGGGAAGGGCTTGGGGAAGGTGGGGGGTGGGGCAGTGGGTGGAGTAGGTGGGGTCCCCAAGGTGGGGTCGAGAAGAGGCAGGCATAGGGAGGGTGGAAGCCTTCGTGGGAGAGAACCTGGATGTAAGAATGAATGCCTGGTATGTGCTGGAGCAGCAGAGTGGGAATAGCCAGGAAAAGCGTGGAGGGATGAGGAGTCCCTGGGAGAGGGAGAGGTGCAGGCTTGGCCTTTTCCTGAGGCCTATGTTTGGGGGAACAACCTCATTCCATGGTGTTGGAGGTGTCTAGTTCCTAGTTTACCTCTAGCAGTTGTCTACAAAGGCATCCCTGCCCTTCTTGGGCCCCATGCCCACTCCACTTGACCTATTTATTTATTTATTTATTTTGAGTCTCTATATGCAGTTCAGGCCGGCCTTGAGCTCACCAGCCCAGGCTGGATTCGAACTTGGGGACAATCCTCGTGCCTCAGCCTCATGAGTGCTGGGGTTATAGGCATGTGCCACCACACCTGGTAGGACCCATAATCCAATCTTTATAATCCAATATAGGAAACTAGTGCCTGTACTTAATTCATTTGCCATCCCTCCAGGGGGTGTGTTTGCCAGTCTTCCGGTCAGATTTAGGTTTCCAGAGCCTTTCTAGAAGACCTGTATTCCTATGTTCGCTCTGTTGACTCCCATACTACTGTCTTCTCCTGAGTCCTTTGGGGGGAATTCTTGATTTTCTTAAATTCATAGGTTTCCCTTCCTCAAACAAACACACACCAAATTTGAGTTGACAACTGCTGAATGAGGAGCTAGTCAAGGAGATCCAGAATGCTCCTGCTAAGCCCTGACCACCATGGGGATTTTGTATTTGGGGCCAGAAGGTCTTTGGTGTGATTTGCAAAGGAGGTGTCAGTTTTGACACTTTTTTCCACTCAATCCTTTTAGTGGGTGGAAGGCAGTGTCAGGCTGCTGGAAAGGCAAAGAAGATCCTTCCCTGGTGAAAGATGGGGAGGGGTTCCCAGGAAAATGGAGGCCACATTCAATCAAGGTGGGATCCCAGATCTCTGAATGTTCTGAATTGTCTTGCTCATTCATTCCTGGGAAGTAGCCTCTACAACTTTTTTTTTTTTTTTTCTGACAAGGATGGGGTGGAGTGGGGTCTGAGACTATGTTCCTGTCACCCAAGTGACCCCCAAATCTCCAAGTAGGTCATGGTGAGATTGGTGGCTCAGAGAAGTGGGCAGTGTGGTGGGTAGTTGCTTACTCCAGCTAGTTAGCTGTTTATTTTGCCATTGTGAACCAGACAAGCTTTAGGCTCCAGACTGCAGCTCCCGGCTGCATAGGTGAATGCATGCATGAGTGGGGGTGGGGGTGGGGGTGGGGCAAAGCTTGCATAGGCAAATTTCAATGAAGTCATTGCATTGATCCCCAGTGGAACTGGGAGTGAACAGAAGAGGGTTGATAAAACCTCCTGTTTTCATACCTTGCAACTGGAGTCAGCCTTTGTTCTCTCTTGATTTACTCAACAGTGGTTTGTCTTTGAAGAGCTATGGATACAATAGCTCAAGGATTAAAACATGGTTTTCAAGTTATAAAACCTTTCTTAAAAAACAAATTGGGGACATTTTACAAAGACAGGTGAATCCTGGAAGGTTGCATGGCAGTCCTTTCTGCAGCCTAAGAGGAAGTGGCCTTAGGAGCCACAAGGGACCCAGTGCTTGCAGAAGCATATCATGCATACACCTGACAAAGTAAAGTGGTTTTCCAGGTTGAGAACAAGAAAATGAATGAATAAAATTCATGAAAATTGGGAAAAAAATTGCAAATATGAAAAAAACAGAAACTGAGGCAAAGAAGGGGGAGTAGATTGTAGATTACACAAGACTTCCAAAGCAGAACTTTTGAAGGTTGTCCATTATTTTCAGGATTTACTTACTGTCACTGACAGATCAAAAACAAGCTGAGAAGCAAGCAGTGCCACACACCTGTAATCCAGTGCTGGAGAGGCAAAGGCAGGAGGATCCTCATGAGTTTGAGGCCAGTTTGTGCTGTGAGATCCTGTAGGGCAGGCTAAAAAAAAAAAAAAAAAAAGCTGAAGTATGGAAGAAAGTTGCAGTACAGGAGAGAAGTGAGTGGGCATAAGAGTAGTGTGGTCATGGAAGGCCAGAGAGATGGACTGTTGGGCAGGAGTCATGAGGAAAAGATGATCAGTTGGGGCTGGTCCTTTTAATTTGTGGTGATGAGTGAAATGGAAGAGGGACAGTGTGAGGACAAAATGCTTGCTGAGATCTTGGTGCTACTGGTTCAACATACACAAGTAGGTATGTAGATACAATATTCACTACAATAAAATTAACACATGCTTCAACATTTCATTAAGTGTGGAAGGGCACCTAGCAGTTTTTAAGTAAATATACCATTATTCTCTACAGTCACTGCCTTGGTCTGTTTTATGCTTCTTTGACAAAATAACTAAAACTAGGTAATACATAAACAATAGAAATTTATTTTCTTGTAGAACTGGAGGCAGTGAAGTATAAGCAAGGCATCAGCAAGTCTTCTCTTGATAGGCGTCAGCCATCTCCCCATCTCCCCACACTCACATTCTCTTTGTGCACCTGTATAGAGACGGAGCTGTCTGTTGCCTCTTCTCATAAGTACACTGATTGTGTAGGATCAGGGCCTCACCCTCATGACTATATTTAGTATTAATTCCCCACAGGTGTGTATTTCAGTTACTTGTTCCTGGACAAAATACCAGACCCCTACAACTTAAAGGTGGAAAGGTTTACTTCAGCTCATGAGGTTTGTACGGGTTTCAGTCCACAGTTGGTTGGCTCCAAAACAGGAGCATAGCAGACCAGAAACAGCCATGAGAAGGCAGGCAGAAGACTGTAAGCCTCCCTTGCTCTTTTATCCCATGCAGGCAGTAAACCTTTTGGGTGGAGCAGGGCGTGGTGGCCCACATCTGTAATCCCAGCACTCAGGAGGCTGAGGCAGGAGGATCCTTGTGAGTTGCAAAACAGCCTGAGCTACAAAGTGAGGCGGACCTACATAGTGAGATCCTATCTCAAAAAGAAAAAAATAAAAAAAGGGCAGTGTCACTCACATACAGGGAGAGATTCCCTTTTATCTACACTCTGAACTGTGATAAACAAATTAGTGGTCTAATCCAGGACTGCACACCCATAATCCCAGTATCACACATCCTAGCTCTAGCCAGCACTAAAAAGCCCCACCTATGAAGGGTGGAACATCCAGATATAAGTCATAACATCCTTTAGGTCTTCAACATCTGAACTTTGAGGCACAGAAACTTGCAGTCCAAACTTTAAGTCTGTAAATTAAGGGATTTGCAGTCCTACACCTGCAATGAAAAGATAAATACCGAGGCTGCGGGGAAGGGCCCAAGATGGCGCGAGCCCGG